ATTTCATATTTTCAACTTTTCATTTCGTTCCTTCCTCGTCAGGGAATTAGAAACTTCTGCAAATTAACTTCGATTCCGTGATTACATTTCGGCCTCCGAAATTGAAACCACGCAGCAGTTGGAGGTAACTGCAGTTAATAACTACAAATTACCAGCATTCTAATTACCCCAGCGCTATTACACTATCATTTAATTTTCAGTTTACACTTTATAGTTAAAAGATAAAGCTACCCCTGTAACAGGCCGTGAAGGTCCATAGGGTTGTGAGACGTTGAGGTTCCCACATTATCTAGACAATCGGCTCACAGATGGCGGTGAGGTCAGCCTTATGCGACGGCCGCCCTTTACCCCCCAAAATATTCCAGGTACTCATTTCTGTTAGAGGCTGAGTGGACTCCAGTTTCATAGTGCGGCTGGAAGGATTAAGTCAGTTGAAATATCGAAGGACCTCATTGGGAATCGAACCCGCGACCTTCATTACTATTGTTGATTACATATGTAACCGACTCTGGTACAACCATTCGAAGATAATATCATGTGTTAGGCAGCGGTGCAGTAATATAACTCGAAGAAACATAATACAGCAATCCCTAGCCAACCTCGCTATCAGGGACTCCTTTAAAGTTGCTGTAAAGCATGTGTGCGACCTGGAGGAGGTAGCTTTGGGTATTTCTTCTAAAGAAACAAGATGAACTGTTGGCAGACCCAACTGCATTATCAGAAATACTTACTGGCTCGCAACGTTACAACGGGCAGACTGAGATTAACATTTTAAAGGATCCAACTGAGTACGTTCCTCGCCATTTTTTGCCCTGAGGAAGGAAACGGATCCAGTTTCCGAAACGCTGCGAAGATTCAGAATACCCGAAGATTGATGAATTCCAGAATGTGGATATTTCCGTGTTTAATTAACCATCATCAGAACTCTTTAGAATTGACAACTACAGAGGTTTAATATAAGATCAAAACAAATGTTTTCTACAGATGTTGATAAAATAACATATGTAATGGAAAAGTGTCCTAAGTACATTGCTTCATCGGCATTACTTTAACAAAAATTCCATTTGATAGCATCGATAACTGTGACGTAATTAATTCTACACAAAACCATGAAAACAAGACAAACGTTGGGTATAAAATCGAAGGAATTACCAATATTCAAAACTGTGCGGGGGATAAATTCACGGGGATTAGCGGCAACAGTCACACTGAGGCACACAAACACGCCAACACAAAACAGCAACACGAGGATTCTCCATTATAAATCCCCTTCGATGTCTTGATGCAGCCCGCAAAACGCTTTAACACCAACATGCAGTATTATCACACAGCGGCGTCGCTTGCATTTTACACAGAGCTCCAATATGAAAATTCTGTGGGGCTTCTTCACACAAAAAGTAGGGGAGATAAAAAAAAAGGTTCTGTGATTGGATGTTACAATCGTTAACAGAAAACAAAACCAACACAACGCTTTGAAAACGCCGCAGAACTTCCGCTCTGCTCACACCGAGCGCTCCCAGGCGATATTAACCCCTCCCCCTTTTTTAATCTCCAAGTGGTGGTTACGCAACACAATGGAATAAATTGAAAATATGTCGCCAAGCATTGTCGAATTAACAATACCTGTCTTTTATTTCCCTGCGCATCATAGCCGATATATACATTGACAGTTTGTGACTATGTATGTATTATCTGGCTATTTATGTATATCATCCTGCAGCCGCAGTATTTTTCTCGTCCTCATATAAGTAACAGCTCTACGCTAGAAATTGTACCGTCTGAATGATAAAGATGTAAATTAATTCACTGTTTTACGTGTGGAAGGAGGGAAGGAGATAAAGGTATCGAAGGAACAAATATAAGAAAAGGAGTCATGAATATACAAAAAAAAGAGAGTATTTCCCTCTGAATTTCAACACGAATTTCCGGCAATTACTCATAAACACCGCAATAAGGAAACGTCTGGCTTGCCATGGGATAAATTTAACAATCACTGAACACTTCCAGACTAAATGTCAAACGAGCAGACGCCATATCCAACATGCTTCATAGACAAGAAACGTCCAGAATAAATGGATCCATATATAACAATACGGCAAAGTAATCCAAAATCCCTGTGTTTATTTAGGCACCCTGCCTTGAACAATTTAACCTTGAGAGCAGACTGAAGTAAATGGTAACTTCAAGCCTCTGGCACTTCAACCCCGAGAAAAGCTCCCCGCCGCACGCTTCATATAGGAGAATGCGTGGACGTTCTGGACATAATACTTTTACCTTGACGGGAATCGAACCCTGATCACTCGGTCGTCCAGAGAGTAGCCTACTCAGTATATAGGCAGAGCTATGACGGCCTAAATTAATAATACTAATAGTTTACAACATTCTGAGAAGTATTCAGAGAAAACCGCGAAGAGGATCAAGTGGTAGGATGTGATGCTGTGTATTCTGACAAACGCTAACCACCATTTCGGAGGAAATTGTTGCTTCCATCTTCACGGCCGAAGAGTGACCAATGAAGGGAATCAGAATAAGAGCTTTGGTTCTCTGTTTACTGCACAATTCGAAACTGAATTTCTGCTGGTCTACACGGCGTCACACAGTATTCTTTATAAAGTTACAGCTATAAGTATTTTTTATTGCCAGTGGGGTGGGACTAAGTCCCTTGTACTGCGGCCACTTCTGGCCTATTGTACCAGCCCCAGATGATAGGTGAGGGTGATTGTGGAGCAATTGGTGGAATGAAGATTGGCAGGGGAAACCGAAGTAGTCGGAGAAAACCTGCCCCAGCGCCACTCTGTCCACCACAAATCCCACTTGACCAGACCCGGGATCGAACCCGGGCCGCCGCGGTGGGAAGCCAGCGACTAACCGCTTGAGCTGTGGCGCGGCCCTTCCCGCTATAAGCAACATATCCTACACCCGTTAAAATAAAACTGGGGTCACATGGAACAGTATGGGATTGATGTAGTGTAGCACGGGACAGTATCAAGGGGAAGGCTGATATAACGAAACGTTTCAACACAAGGTCCTGGGGTAATTTGGCTGAATAAGTCGCTTTTTACACCTCATTACCTCACATCTTACGAGCGCAGGGGTAAAAGAAAAAACTACTTTCACTTTATCGACATTCTATTAACTTCTGCCGTCGATTTGAAGGGATAAGTTCTGCGACGTTTTCGAAAGTTAAACATTATATATAAGCCTAAGAGTATAAAATGTATAAAAACATGGGTGAATATAGTAACAGAATTCGTATTAAAAAAGCATTAAGAAAGGCAAACAACCATACTTGTATTATGAATAGAAATCTTTGCATATTCGTAACAGAATATTTCAATCGTACGCTATACAGAAGAGGAATATCGTGAAAACGTATGTAGATTCTATCACAAAGTATACATATTCTGTATAAAACTACACGTTTTTTTCCTGAATTGATGACAGACGGCATCTTATCGCCTCTTTCGATTATGCAGATAACACAACTTGCGTGCTTAACACATTTTAATTATCATAACTACAAGTATCAGTCTAAAACTTTATAAACTAATATATATATATATACACACACACACAAAGCACGAACAACCATACATATCTAGGAATTAAAAAAAAAAAGAATTTTTAATCTCCTGGTATCTACAAATTTATTCTTATACAGAATGACCGAAGAATTACGTATTTATGCACTTACTTAGGTATATTCTAGAGAACTTACATGAGTTCCATCGCGGTGAGCAGAACCATTAATCTGTACCATTTTTTTGCACAACGCGGTGTAGGGTAATAAAACCCGCCCTGTTTCGTGGCATATCTAACGGTATTCTGTATGTCAAGGTATCAGGCAGGTTTAGCAACCAACGCTATGCATCACCACTAATAATAAGAATCTGTTTATCTTTTCCCGGAAGAACACATATCAAATTAAGCTATACCGTCTTCGACGAAAATGGTAACTATTTTCATTTTTTAAACAACTTCCGATTAAAATTACAGGGGAAGGTTCTTAAATATGGGAGAATAAAGTTAAGTTTTCACTTGAACACAAAAGAAAAGTTCACATACAGCACGCCATTTATAAATTAATCAACATCACATACAACAGCGTTGCTCCCAGGGTGGCCAACTTCGCTGGAAAAAACACCAGAGCACGGAGAACTCAGCATTGCGCTGTACCCGGATGTCTGTCCAATTTTATTGCGTCATCATCGTTTAATGTTTTATGCTGATTGCTGTAATGATTTGAAATTTCAAATTTAACTGGCCACCACAACGTAAAGTAGCAAATTTGTAGGATGTCTGTTAAGTACGCAGAAATATATGATACAGCCTGCGTACACACAGAGAGACCTCAGTTTATCATTCGTCTGCATACTTTACCTGTATGTACACTGGCAACGTCACAAAGTTCACAATTGTGAATCGTTGCAGAGACAATTTCTACAAAGAAATAAAATTAAAACTGTGATAATTTGGGATGTTACGATGTGTAGATATTGCTCATGCTTCGTAGGAACACGCTGAATGCATCTTCAAGGATACAGAAAAAATATATACCGGCCAACCGTTATGATCTTGCCAGTTTACTGCTCAATGAAATTGATGATGATGATGAAATTTTGCTATGCCGAATTTAGGGATCAGAGTAAACCAAATGAATTTAAAGAGTATATTAGCGGTTATGCGAAAACTTCAGCCGTTTCTTAGTAATTTAATGCTTGAATCATGCCGATATGTTTACAAGTTTTTTGAATGATGGCTTTTATAATCCCGGCATTCATTTTCGATGACCCTGTATAACAGACCAGCACATGTAAGGACTGAACCTCAACTTATGTGACGTCTTGAGATATGTACCACCTTATAACATGTCGTAATAAAGAAGAAGATTATAACATAACTCGAAGATGTGTGATTTTATTTTCAATAGTTGGCCACCCTAAGAATTCAGTAAAAAATATAATGTAAATATGAAATATATGTTTTCTCAAGGAACTTACCTTCGGCTGCGATTTCAGAGCATAACACGAACAAGACCAGGATAACGGTAAGGCTGTACAGCGGTAGATGCATGGCGTCCCTCTTCCGACTAGCCCCCACCTACATCAGGGACAACAACCGAAACAAAAATGATAGGGGAGAAGAATAAATACAATATTTTTTACACTTTTTTCTACCTTCACCGGCGACTCTGCTTACGAGACGATATCACCTGATGCTGGAAAAAGACACCACTGACACGCTTTCCTTTTAAATTGCCGTGAATCGATGCCAGATGCAACCTATACAGGTTGGGAAAAAAACACTTTGGAGTGTGGGGGTTGAGGCCCACGGGAAATACAAGCATGAATTCTCCTAGCTGTGGTTAAAGTAATATTTTGGGGAGGTTAAACTGTGCAGGAGGAATGGGCGGTGGTTTTAAAATTTCCAGGGCACACTGTAGAAACAAAGATTCACAAAAGACACTCGTCGAAGAAGAAATCCCAGTGGATAGACGAAGAAAACACTTTGATATAGGTTTTCAGCACTGACACATCACTTTTAAACCACTCAAAAAATTTAATTTTCTTTTGAATCAAAGGAAAAATAAAACGGTTGAAAAGAGAACTATTTGTTGATGTTGTTTTCTTGTAACAACATTACCGGAGAGAACATTAACTTGAGAAAGATGTAACTAAAAGAAAAAAAAAAAGGTTCACTTTTATTTCCAGCGACGTAATGTGTTATAAGAGACATAAAATTGCTCCCAGGCAGATGTCTGTCTAATAACCAATAATCTAAGTGATTACAACATAAGTCGATTATTAAACTTCTCTTGTCACGGGTGTATATGTAAAACAATATTAATTAGTTTCCTTAGTTTAGGCCAGCTTCATAAAACTATAGGAAAAATCGTTCGTGGATCAAGAAATATTTGCTCTGTAACTGTCTTCCTCGTGCATATTGCATCTGTCTTCTTCCTGTCATTCCAACAGTAATTACTGCGGTCTGGATTTATAAACATTCCAAAATTATACCGATCACAAGATCATTTTATGCTCAAAAATAGGAAAGCAGCACACGTGACTGTTCCATGTCTTCAATCGAAGCAACAATACGTTCAAATAACATTTAACGCTGTGAGTAATTAACAAGTGAATTAATTGAAAATAAATTATCAAGACAGTGTCATTTAGAAAATGAATATGACGACAGAGATATAATGATGTGTAACATGAATGTCAGTGGCGTGTCCTCATTTCACATCGAAACATTTCGAAACAACAAAATGAATACATCTAACCACTAACAAAAGCATGGTGACTGTTCCCTTGGAGACTTCGTAAAGAGTCTTCGTTTTCAAAGAGTCTTTTCACATCACAATTTTCAAAAAAGAATTTTTTAGACAGTAGAACAAACAATCCATCACACTTTATCACTGAACACATGCGACGAATAAATATATTTAAGATGAAAAATTTGTAACATGATTGATGAGAGGTCAAATAACTTCTTATACCCCATGAAGGCAGTACTATTAAATTTTTAAGGAAAAAAATATGGTCTTTAAGTTTAGAATGTTTGGTTTTAAAATGACACAGCTCTTGAATACACAACTGGCTTTTTATAACAGTCACTTGCCTATGGACACAGTTCAATTTAGGTATTAAAAATTAACTTTTCGTTTAATGTTTCCGTAATCGAATGTCTTTAGCCGCGAAACGTCACTTTAGAGTACGTATACAAAACTGGAAAAATTTCCACTGGATGTTTCTGCAAACGAACTGCGAGTGTTTCAGTGGGGCTACTGTCACTAGACGCCGTTTCCACGCAGCCGGATAATCACACACAAGGAACATAAAACCGTTTAGAAGATAAGTTACGCCGATTAACACTAAAACAGAACATAAAACTTGTTTTCGTGTCTACCTAACGCTAAACACAAGAGGCCGCAACGAAAACTACGCGGCTACGCAGGACACAACGGGGTTTCAGTCACCACCACCTGTCCGGTGGGCATCCCCCTCCAGCCTAGCGCACACTAACGGCAACTCTGAACCCCGACGCCCGCACAGTACAACTACCGCAGGTTGTGCTCTCGACGCCGACGCCCGCCTGCCAGCCTTCCTTCCATCGACACTAGGAGAGACCTCTGCCGGTAGAAAGGAAGAACTGGTCGACAGGTGCTATCAGGTAATACGGGGGAACGCAGTCATGCATCGCGGCAAAAAAGGTAAGATGGAGTGAGACGCGAGGAACTGGATATTGTTAGCCAGGCTTCGAGTCCTGTTTCGCCCTGTCGCGAATGTCTTCTTATATTCCTGTTGCTCCCACTTGCAGCACAGGGCATCCGTGAAAAGTTTCGTAATCCTATACACAGTTTGTAGCACTGTGTGGACGGAGGAATAGCCCATCGAAAGGCAGGTACCTAACACACAAACAGACATCATTGCCTTGAGTGGGACTCGAACCCATGATCCCAGTGTTCGAGCGGACGAAGACATTTCATGCCGTAGACCGGGCGGCCACTGTGATGGGCTCTCGTCAGTGTACCGCCAAGTATTTCCTCGGAAAACCGGCGAGAAAATTTAATGGACAAACTTACATTACACAAGAACGCTAACAAACAACTAGAAAGCGTGAAGGTATCCGTGTAACAGGCCGTGGAGGTCCCTAGAGTTGTGAGACGTCGAGGCTACCACATTTTCTAGACAATCGGCTCAGAGATGGCGGTGAGGAGGTCAGCATTACGCACCGGCCGTCCTTTACCTGCATGAAGATTCCTCGTACTCATTTCTGTTACACGCTGAGTCGACCCCAGGGCCATAGTGCGGCTGGAAGGATTAGGTCGATTGAATAATCCAATGACCTCATCGGGAATCGAACATGCGACTATCCGGTTTGTAGTATACAGCGTCAACCAACAATGCCACCGTGTGCACAACATTTTCTATGATTATGTGTGGAAGTGGAAACTGGGTTCTGAACAGATCCGAAAGGAGAACTGAAAGAACTGAGATGCGTTTAAGGCATCTTCTCTGCACTTACACTTAGTCTTGTACGCAATACGGCAATTCGCAAGGCACTTCAAATACTGTATCCTCTTCAGAAGAAAGAAAGACTACAACATAATGTTAAGAACGGACTCTTCTAGACTGCCCCAAAAGTTTACAATTACCAACCAGGCGGAAGAAGACATGTTGGACGACCGAGAAGAAGATGGGAAGACAGTCTTAAAGATTGAAGAAACTAATTAAAACCTATCTTGAAGTGGTGATGATGATGATGATGACGACGACGACCACTTATATTTAAGCGTCCTTCTTTCACATGCGAGCTACATGACTTGTCCACCTCACCCTCGTTAATTTGATCATATTGATTACGAGTATACCGGCGAGCAGTACCACTCACAGAATAAGTTCAGAAAGATAATGAGGGTATCGAGGTTACCACCTCAGAACAACACCTCACCAGTCATCAATGTGCACTGTGAGGTGTTAAAAAAATTTGGGGGTAGTATCATCATTTGAGTCATGGTGATTCATTGCTTGACTTATTCTTCAACCCGACTACACGGTGTTACATCTCACAAGTCAGAAAACTTCATAATCATTGCTGTGAGAACCCCTGGTTTTATTCATGGGATGTTATTTTCTTCACAGGATGGGAACAAAAATTACCGTATAGGAGATCTGGTTGAACATGAGGTAATTTTCTTCTGTAAGGTTGCCTACTCAAGCTATGACGTTCCCTCAGAGATGTTTCAGAGAGATAACAGATGAGCGTTCCCAGGTCCAGAGCCTTAGCTGCTTTCTTTTCTCCTCTCGAACAAATGCATCCTAGTTTCGTCTGTTTGTATTACGTACTAAAAGAAAGTTTGCTGCTTAATTAGACCTGCCAGGCCGTCTTCCCTCCGTCTGTCTGTCCCAACTGTGATCTCAGAACTTCCACATTACCCCCACTTGACTTCCAAAACTTTGCAACAATTTGTTTTTTTATTTTGTTATACAGAAGACATAAACTGCAGGGCTGATGAAATATTCTCCACAAGTTCGGTCTATCTCAAGCTAAGCGAAGAGCCTACTAGTTAAATCTCATAGTATTCTCTGTCCAGAAAATATTCTAGGTTACGTCATACCCTGAACAGGCTACGTTACGGAAGAAAAAAATCTCGCGTGTTCAACGAAGTCTCCGCTATGGCGCTTCTGGTTGACATCGGGTGTTACTGATGTAAGGACATACGTCACCGCCGTACCCCCAACTCAAAATCGATATTTCACAGTTTATATGAGAGTTAAGGTTCTCCCCGCGATGGCTGTCTTTTGGGATATCCCGCCGTGTAGTTTGGTAGACGTCAATTCCAAGATGACCGAAATATGAAAGGTATAAAAAGGTAAAGCTCTATCTGTAACAAGCCGTGAAGGCCCTTAGGGTTGTGAGGCGTAGAGGTTCCTCGGCTCACAGACGGCGGTGAGGTTGTCAGCCTTATGTGCTGGCCGCCCTTTACCCCCAGGAAGATTCCTGGTACTCATTTCTGTCAGAGGCTCATTCGACTGCAGGGCCATAGTGCAGCTGGAAGCATTAGGTGAACTGAGAAATCCAATGACCTCATTTGGGAATCGAACCCGTGACCTTCCGGCTTGTAGTATAGGAAATCAACCAAACTTTCCAAACTACGTGTGGAATACACATCTAATTTCGCGGTGAATTTATAGTGTCATATGACGAAATACCGAAACCGTCCGTCCGTCCGTCCATCCGTCCATGGTTCTAACGCACTTTGGACCTTGGCAGCTTTTCTGTTTCCTAATCCTTTATGCAGTCATTAGGAGTCCTTGGACGGGGGATCAGCCCATCTCAAGGCCGTTACCTACACACAGAAAAACACAAACACAGAATAAACGCACACAGACATCCATGCCTCGAGTGGGATTCGAACCCATGATTCCAGTGTTCGAGCGGATGAAGACGGTTCATGCCTTAGACAGTGCGGTCACTGTGATCAGTAACACTAACTACATCCAACCAGTCTAAGTGTAACATTTAATCTCATTACTGTCAGCCCACTGTGACACGGTGGTCTTGTCGGGTAATTATGTCGCTAAGGTCAGGATGGG